TTAGTATGTTTTGGTTTTAAGATTATTTATAGTTTCAATCTGGAAGTGTTTTAAATTGTTTATATGGTACTTCATGTTGCAACCCCATGATAAAGGGTGTGTTATAAAAAATTTACTAAACAAATAAATACTCTAGTCCGGATGAACCAAGAGGATTCCAGCTATGCATTTTTGGATGGTTCATAACTATTTTAGTTCTTTCCACATGCCCCTTCGTTCAGTGTTATTGAAGAAACAGTCGCTGTTGCCTAACAGGATAATAAACAGGCACACTCTGCAGTCATTTGCTTATTTACTAAGGTTGGCATTCAGCAGAAGAGTGGTATATCGTGCAAACGTCATATAACTAAGTGTAGATTTGCACTTCACAAGCACAATATAGGATTCACAGCTTGTGTTTCCCACTTTCTTCCTGCCCTTTCCACAGTACAACCTTCTAATTACTTCAACCTGAATGAGAGAGAAAGTAGAGCAGGAGCTCAGAGAGATCAGCTTTGACCTTTTACCCACTAGGTCAACAGGCCAACTAGCTTGAGATTCCCAGTTCTTGAAATTTGTCAGCTTGTTTCAAAGTGAACAAACCTAACCGTGCTACTTATGGTATTTGTTTTGATTCTCCTCAGCATCCCAAAGACGACACAAAAGGAAAATATTGATGCCAAGTAAAATTTTCATTTTCCCTTTGCCAAGTATTAAGTATCAAGTATTAAGTATCTGACTCTATGTGAAACAAGCACTAAATCATATATTTTTAAATATAAAAATGAAAGGTTTTCATGAGATATGCTGTGTCTATATCTCTTAAGGGGTTTGCTTAACCTCCTGTTTGCTAGTAAAACTGAATATCGTAAAATTTCTAAAAAGTGTGTGTTACCAATAATGTTTATTGCTTATTTTCTGCTTATGAGTTTTATTTATTGTTTTGTATTACTGTCGTTATTGTTTTACTGTTGTATTGTGGGCTCGGCCTCATGTAAGCCGCACCGAGTCCCTTGAGGAGATGGGAGCGGGGTACAAATAAAGTTTTTTTTATTATTATTATTAATATGAAATGTTTGGAAAGCTCTGTTATAGGCTACAATATGCACAGTCTCTTATCATTCTCCATACTGACTTAGCTTCCAAAACACCAAAGAATTCCTATCATTGCATTAGTATAAGACACCCAACTACTGTATACACTCGAATATAAGCAGTTTTTTTCAGCTCTTTTTAAGGCTGAAAAAGCCCCCCCCCTTGCCTTATGCGCAAGTCAAAATTATTTATAATTTTACTCTGTTATTATTATTGTTATTATAACATTTATTATTTTACTCTATTTTTATTTTGTATTACATTTATTATTTTACTCTATTTATTATAACATTTATTATTTTACTCTATTTGTTGTTACTATTATTACATTTACATTATTTTACTCTATTATTATTTTGTATTACATGTATTATCTTACACTATTTATTATTAATACATTTCACCCCCCCCCCCCTTCCCAGTGGCGCAGCGGGTTGAACCACTGAGCTGCTAAACTTGCTGACCGAAAAGTCGGTGTTTTGAATCCGGGGAGTGGGGTGAGCTCCCACTATTATGCCCAGCTTCTGCTGACCTAGCAGTTCGAAAACATGCAAATGTGAGTAGATCAATAGGTACCGCTTCTGCGAGAAGGTAGTGGTGTTCCATGCAGTCATGCTGCCACCTGACCTTGTCTACGGACAACGCTGGCTCTTCGGAATAGAAATAGAGATGAGCACCACCCCCCAGAGCCGGACAAGACTAGAGTTAATGTCAGCGGACACCTTTATCTATTATTTTATTCTATTTATTATTTTTATTACATTTATTATTTTACTCTATTTATTAGGTTTATTACATTTATTATTTTACTCTATTTATTATTGTTATTATTACATTTATTATTTTACTCTATTATAATAATTATTATTACATTTATTATTTTACTCTTTATTGTTGTTATTACATTTACATCATTTTACTCTATTATTATTAATACAGTTATTATTTTGCTCTCTATTATTATTGGAAAGATACATAAGCACATTTACTTTGAAGAAGATTAGAATAATGGTTTAGTCAGAGTTGGACAGTCTTATCTTAAATTGCAATTGTATGTAAATATTCAAAAACTGATGCCTCAATTCATGTAAATTTATTGATATCTATTTTTATTTTGAAATTTACCAGTAGCTGCTGCATTTCCCACCATCGACTTATACTTGGATCAATACATTTTCCCAGGTTTTTTGTGGTAAAATTAGGTGCCTCCTCTTATATTCGGGTTGGTTTATGCCCATGTAGATACGGTATTTAAAGACTGGGACTTTTCAAGAGTTTATTTTACTTTTACAGAAATCTGAGGTCAAAGAAGTACAAGAGTGAAAAGAGACAACACAGCTGACCCAAAGGTTTAACTCTACTGAGGCAGAACTGTATGAAACAACACTATTTGGCATAAGTTGACTTTTCGAGAATCAGAGAAGCCTGCCTGTTCTGACCCCTTGTTCTGCACTTTGAGTGACTTTACTCAGACTGTACGCAAAACGCTAAAAACAAGCACCATCCTCCTTGATTCTGGACTTCAATATTTACACATCTATTGCCCTCTGAACTACATGAAGATGTTCACACACTACAACTACCAAGAAAAATACCATTTCAGTGATCACATTGTATTTTAGAATGGCTGCATTTCAAGCGAGGGAATACCTGCTGTGCGAGGCCTTCTCTGCTCTCGGTGGAACTCAGAAGAACTCTGCGGTTGGCCAAGGCCTCTTCGTAAGGCACTGAATCAGGACACGGCTGCAGCCAAAAGACATAACTTTGGTAAGTCAGGTTACAGATAGAGATTTAAATCCCCCTGCCCAGCCCCTCCTTTGTTAGCAGAAGTCTTCCTTTGAGGCTTTCCAGGCCTTTAGTGGCACAAATCTGTGGCTATGCTATAGATGGAAAGAAACAAAATATAAATTAAACAGCACAGATACAGCATTGTTCTAAAGAAGCTTTAGCAGCCTTGGATGAAAACAGAAAAGGAAGGCTTTGTGCATCCCATGAGTAGGCTAGCCTTCAAAACAATGCACAAAACCAGCCATGTATCATTCCCATTTATAGAATTTTTCTCACCAGCTGAAACAAAAGATAAAGTTTTTATATGGTACAAAGAAACCAAAAGCTTTGAGAAATTCCAGGGATAAAAGTCAGGACAGTGTAAATCGTTAACGTTTAGTAAAAGGCTGAGCAGGGTAACAAGAAATCCAGAGGAGGAGCATTAAGAGTAAAATGCAGGAGTATATTTCTCAAAGGAGATCAGAATTATCTTTTAGCCACCTTTTGCAATTGGTTTAGAACCCAACCAAACTATTAACTGGATTTAATGGAATCAAGCTGAATTACTAATCCAGAGTTGTCTCTCTATTCAGGCTGGGCTTTAGCACAGCAAGCTAACCGCCAGTTGCAGTAAATCTTGTCAATTGGAAGGTTGATAGTTCAAAGCCCGGGTCAGGGTGAGCACCTCTCCTTTCTGCACAGCTTCTGCCCACCTAGCAGATCAAAACCAGAGGTGAGTAGATAAATAGGTACTGCTTTAAAAGCAGGGAAGTATTAAGGCATCCATAAGGAAATCAAAGCCGGAAGTTTATGAACAAAACTCATGGGCAGGGAAGATGGAGCGACAGCACACAAACACACCCCTCCCTCGACCAGAACCGAAAACAGCCTCCAAGAAGATGGGAAAGTCTATATATACTTCTTTCTATGTACAGTTGTCTGTCTTGTCATTGTACAATAGGCATTGAATGTTTGCCGTATATGTGTTCTGTGATCCGCCCAGTCTCAGGTGTGGTTGGTGGGGACAAAAGAAAGGGCATTCTTGGTGGTGGCCCCTCGTCTCTGGAACTCCCCCCCTAGGGAGATTAGGCTAGCACCCTCCCTACCCACATTCCATAAAGAATTAAAGACGTGGGTGTTTCGTTGTGCATTCGACTGATGACTCCTGTGACAGATTATCTGAATCATGACCTGAATCCAAATTCCTATATTTCATGACTACTCTATTTGCTCTAATTGCTCTATTTCTATGCTATTATTTCCATGCTACTATACGTTTCTATCCACCTTATTGACTACCCTATCCTTTAACTAGTTTCGCATATTGCCCGCCCTCCAAAAACGAGTCTGTTGTTGCTTTTGATGTTTGTTTATTATTGTTTATGCTGTTTTATGCTATTTTAATATGTTATTGTTCTGTTTTTAATCGTACGTTGACTTGGGCTTGGCCCCATGTAAGCTGCCCCTAGTCCCCTCGGGGAGATGGGAGGCAGGGTAAATAAAGTAGTTGTTGTTGTTGTCCTTTTCCCTTTCTTTTCTCTTTTCTCTTTTCCTTCTTGAGCAGCGGTTCACAACTTTTGGGCCTCCAGGAGTTTTGGACTTCAACTCCCAGAAATCCCAGCCAGCTTACCAGCTGTGAGGAACTATGGGAGCTGAAGTCCAAAACACCTGGAAGCCCAAAGGTTGGGAACCACTGGTTTAGATTAACAAAATGTGACATCTCCACAATAATTAATTTTATCTATTTTATTTTATTTACTTGGTTTTTATCTTTCCTTTCTCCTGATATAGGGACTCAAGGTGGCTTGCAATACATATAAAACAATGCAAAGGAAAGCAATCTACATGCACGAAAGATAAAAATAAATAAAATAAATAAACCATTTGCATCCCATTTGTATTGTTCTGCTATGCCCCAAAAAACCTAATTAGGATATAAGCACACCATTGCTAGACTTACATACTTTAGCTAGAGCTAGCCAGCATCATTTCAGATTCTATTTGATGGTCTTTTCTATTGTTTTCCCCACAAAACACTGTCCTGTCCCTGCACCCACAATTATAGTGGAAGAAAACCTATTCTGGTCTTACTTAGTGATTTTCTCCAACCTTAGATGTAATTTTTGAAAAAGAGATTCCTATTGTCTTTCTGTAATTTCCTCTTTGCAATTCTCTTGCCATCTGGCCTTCAACGACTGAATCCATTCCCTGTCCCCCAAGAGTTTCTGAATCAATATGACTCCTCGCAAAAAAAAAAACCCTTCCACTGGCTGCAAAATTATTAACAGTCTCTTGAACTTTGTGTGCTGGATATCTGTTAATGCAATCAATTCATCGAGTTTTAAAAAGGCATACCGGTGGAAGAGTCTTCTCTCAACCATAGTTTGACACGTTTTTTCACACAATAGTAAGTCTCCATTGCAAGACAGTCTGAAATAATAACTGTCCCTTTTATCTTATTGTAACATGTTATTTCAGACTGGGAGCCTGCGGGCAGAGACTGTGTTGTGTTATTGCTTTTATTGATCTTATTTAAGCTACTCAGCTGGAAACCAGAACAGCAAATGCCATGAACAAACAAAATCCCCAAAGTCTCACTCGATATAGGGAAGGCTTTTTTAAAAAACCCAATAAAATTGCAGTACTATGAAGGAGCATTCCAACGTATGATCCCACACCAGCAATCCATAAAACATACCGACAATGTACAGTTAATTCTCTTGAGATTTTGCTTGTTCCTCATTGCTCTGAATAGAACTCTAAATACTATATCAAGCACAGATCTCAGGACTGTGGCGGCAGTGGCCGCCAGTTTTAAGATGAGATTGTCAAAATTTCATGCTACCCAAGAGGTGGGAACAAGGTCATGGTGAACTTCAAACAGCTCATATTATTTTCATTACAGCTCTGTGAACCACAATAAGTGGGCAAGCACGCCTGTCCTCTCTCAGGTTTGTAACTGTGGGTAAGAGGGAAGTTTGTTCTTGTGGCACCAAGATATTGAATTGTTGCCTATATGTAAAGCCGCCTTGAGTCCCCTTCGGGGTGAGAAGGACAAGGTACAAATATAATAAATAAATAGTAAGGGTAAGGTTTCCCCTTGACATTAAATCTAGTCATGTCCAACTCTGGGGGTTGGTGCTCATCTCCATTTCTAAGCCGAAGAGCTGGTGTTGTCCGTAGACGCCTTCAAGGTCATGTGGCCGGTATGACTGCATTGCGCGCCGTTATCTTCCCGCCGAAGTGCTACCTATTCTACTCAAATTTCCATGTTTTCAAAATGCTAGGTTGGCAGAAGCAATGGGAGTTCACCCTGCTCCCCAGATTTGAACTGCTGACCTTTCAGTCAGCAAGTTCAGCAGATCAGCAGTTTAACCCGCTGCGCCACCAGGGGCATAAATAGTAAATAAATAAACTGAATGGTTTACAGAGCAGCAAGATAATTCCATCATTCTATGCCTCTCCAAGGTTCAGGACAAAGTCAAGCAGAGAAGGGCAAATGTGGTCCTCTAAATGGTTTGGTTGAAACTCCATAATCCTTCACCCCTCATTGCCTATTGATAGGAAGGCCTGGCAGAATTTTTTTTTTATAATGTAGGCGCATACTTAAAGTTTTGTTTTACGTAGTTTTGAAGATCAAATTAGATAGGTGACGTCCCCCATTCTCCATTCTCCATACACCGAGTAAACCGATTTCTGGCGTTTGTCATGACTCTTGCCAGTATAGCAGCCGTTATGTTGGCAATTTCTTCCTGGATGTTGGTCTTCAAATCTTGTAGGGACCTTGGACGGTTCACATAAACACGGGATTTCAAAAACCCCATAGAAAAAAATCACAAGGGGCCAAATCTGGAGAGTGGGGTGACCACTCCACATCTGCTGGAAAAGTAGGCCTCAATGGCAAAAGCACGCTCCTCACTGTTCCAACGCATTATGGCGACTGAACTGTGAGAGGACAAAACTTTATACTCCCGCCTCTCAAACGAGACCACTAGCGCTCCGCTACGTCTTCAACCGACTGAATGGTGCGCATTTTAAAAAAGGAAGTTATGCTGCCTCACCCTGTCGGTTAGAGCAAGCATGGGCAAACAGCTTGAAGTCCAAAACACTTGGAGGGGCAAAGTTTGGCCATGCGTGGACTACAGCCACATCAAAAGGTCACAATGATTAATTTCTTGTTTAAGGAGCACCTTGTTCAGAGTGAACAATTGGGGATCTTGCCAGAATTCTTTTTAATTCTTCCCCAGCAGCAATATACAATTATCAGTAAAGAGATTTTCTCTCTATAAGAAAGCTATGGGACCTTCCCCTGCTTAAAAAAAACCCAAGAGAGCCATAAAAACCTGGAGGGATGAAGAAACATATCATGATGTCCTTCTGCTGTTACAAATTAAATTAAGAAGGCACTAAGCTTGCACAGATAACTACAAACTATTCTACGTATACTGTTCATCTCTTTTTAAATATACTATTTTGTAATATGAATAAAACATAGGTTTTAACTGCTGCTAGCTGCCCTGGTTGGTATGAAAAAACTAGATGAGTAGGATATAAGCTTCCAATATGAATAAATAAACAAATCCCTCAACAGACTTCCCAACAGCTTTAATTAAGAAAAAAAAACATTTCTAATAAATAATTCCAGCCCCAAACTCTACTTTTGGCCTACACAGATATGATATACTATTCTCAGAAGACTATGCTCTTCCCTCAAGCACAATTCATCAGTTTGGGAGATTCTCCTATCTACCTATTTCCATCCAATCCAAGACGGATGCCCTAGAATTCCTCCCAGTTTCTATCCAGCTTTCCAAAGAATAGCTGTTGAACTCTCACTCATCACGCCCTGTAAATATTTCTTATAAATCCACCTCAAGCTAAATAGGAAGCAGGAAAACACCCAAACTACAAATCCTACTTGATCTGCAAATGAGAATCTTTTCAGAGGTGAATGGAGGGGAAGAAAACTAAAATATTGTTGTTTATCCAAGTTACTACAAACCTTCTTCAGTAGTTTCATGAAGGCAGCTGCTTTTTTCTTGTTCTGAAGCATACACTCAGCTGAGAGAGGGCTGATAAACTCCATTCCTCCCTTTGGCCCATAGCTCAGCGATGCAGTGAAGCAGTCTAAATTATTGCTGAAGAATGAAGCAACCTATATAAACAAAGACAAACATGTATAGTAGCAATCCCACTGCCAAGGGACAGAAAGTTTCATCTATGCTGATGATTGTGCCATCACCACTCAAGCAGCGAGCTTTGACATGGTTGAAGAGAAGCTCTCTGAAGTTCATGGTGCTCTTACTGTTTATTACAGGGGGAAACAGCAGATTCCTAATCCATCTAAAACACAAATGTGTGCTTTCCATGTTAAGAACAGACAAACATCTCCAGCTCTGAGGATTACCTGGGAAGGAATCCCACTGGAGCACTGCAGCACACCCAAATACCTAGGAGTCACTCTGGACTGTGCTCCGACTGAGAAGAAGCACTGCTGGACTATCAAGCAAAAAGTGGGTGCTAGAAATAACATTGTACGAAAGCTGACTGGCACAACCTGGGGATCACAACCAGAAACAGTGAAGACATTTGCCCCTGCACTTCGTTACTCTGCTGCTAAATGCACATGCCCAATTTGGAATACATCTCACCATGTTAAAACAGTGGACGTGGCTCTTAATGAGACAGGCCAAATTATCACAGGATGTTTACACCCTACGCTGCTGGATAAATTATACAATTTAGCCAGTACTGCACCACCTGATATCCGCCAGGAAGTAGCAGTCAATAATGGAAGGATGAAGGCATTGACATCTCTGGCTCATCCTCTGTTCGGATATCAGCTAGAATGCCAATGACTTTAATCAAGAAAAAGCTTCCTGAGATCTACACAGACACTCGCAGGAACACCTCATCTGGCTACCAGTATTTTAAAAAAAATAGGACAGTAAATAAAGACAACATTCAATTAACAGGGGAATTCCATACATTCACACTTGCCTCAAACAGACAAGAGTTCTTTCTCCCACCCTGGGCATTCCAGATATATAAACCTCACTTGCCTAGTTTCCAATGGACCTCACAAATTCTGAGGATGCCTGCCATAGATGTGGGCAAAATGTCAGTAGACACTGCTACTGGAACATGACTATACAGCCCGGAAGACTCACAGCAATCCAGTGATTCCAGCCATGAAAGTCTTCAACAACACAGTATAATAACTTTTTAAAACAGATCTTTTGCACAAGACCCACCTGACAGGAAAATCTTATTTAGGCTTAATCAACATGTAAACAAAGGGAGATAAACCGCATTGCATCCTGTGATTTGGATACTACATGTTCCATAACTCATAGCCAGCAAGGACATAGCTCAAGGATTATGGGAATTGCTATCCAAAATATCTGGAAGGTGCAAGATCACCTTCCTGTAGTTTCACAGCACTGGCTCATGTTCAGACTGAATAAGAAGAGAAGTTACCTTGCCTGCTCCATTTGTTAATGCTACAATAGAGGATAAGATGCAGTCGTTGGTGGTGATGAGCTTCTGGGTGGCAGTGGGGAGCTCTTGCTCCAAGGCAGCTTTTTGGCTATAATGCTTGTACATATCTAAAGGGAGGAAGCAACTTGGATCAGATCTTCACACAGTCCTGCCACAATCCTATTCATCCCTTTTAGAACTCCTCCCACTCAATGTTGATTTGTATTCAAGGTGAAGTTGATATGGGATTCCATCATAATCACTGTACAGTATTATTAATTATGGTGTAAGAGTCAGTGTGGTGGTCTGAGTATTGGATGTAGACACTGGGAGACTAGCGTTCACACCCCTGCTCAGTCATGAAAATATCCTGCATGACGGTGTGCAAGTGACACTTTCTCAGCCCCAGGGGAAGGCAAGAGCAAATCCCCTCTGAATTAATCCTACCAAGAAAGCCCCTTGATAGGTTGGCCTTAGGATTGTCTTAAGTCAAAAATGACCTGAAGGCACATAACAGCAATATTATACTATAATTACTATATAATTTATATTTTAGTAGACTGTTTTCTGTACATTAAATACTTAAAGAAAACAATATTGATTGCTACATTCTGGAAAGTCAAAGAAACAGTACTGGTTGTACTGATTTAAATTAAGTTGATCTGAGATCAGCAAGAAAAGAGGCAGATAATTTAAAACACATATTTAAATCAGAGATAGTAATCCTGCAGCTCTTTAGACTATGCACACTTCAGCAGTCCTCATCACTGGCTATGCTGGCTAGGGCTCTTGGGAGTTGTAGTCCACGACCACATAATTCCAATTCCTATTTGAATTCAATATCTTACTGGTCTTAGTACTATTTCCCAAACATGTTATAAATCTGACCATCATGATAACTTACAGCTAAATGGAGTACTATTTCCATAGTTTCATTCTGGAAGCTAGATCTTGCCTCTCTTTGACACAAACATTGGTATGCTTGATTTCTTTTGTGTTGATTAGAGTTTATTTTTAGTTTAACACAGTTTATTATTCTTGAACCTTGTGGTCCCTGCTAGCAAAAAAATAAATAAAGTGGTTCCCTGATCAAAAAAAGGTGGGAATCACTGTCCTAGTTTAACAGCTTCAAACAGCAGGGCAAAGAAAAACATTTGTCCAAGAAAGGAAGCCACTGTTGTTCAGAAGATGTAGGGCTTCCCAGGATTCCCATTACACAAGCAGCTTCTCCGCACAATTATGAGCCTTTTTGAGATTTGTCATCCCTTTTCCCTTCTCAATGTGGTAAATGGACTGACTATCCAGTGGCTTTTAGCATCAACAGTGAAAAGAGACAGCCACTACTTGAGCCAACTTCATTCCTACAAGGCTTAGGCTGAAAATTAACATCATCCCCCTATCCAAAAATTAAAGATCGTCTTAAAGCTGCTGTGCCTCACCTTGCAAGACATCATGAAATCCATGAAGAGTTGAAGCAATGTACGTGAACACTGAGCTGAAATTTGTTCGAAGCAGTCTGTCTGGTTTTGTGCCTAGATGTACAAGGAACACAAAATCAAAATTCACCAATGGTCTTGAAAGAAAAGGGGGAAATATGAGATTTGTTAAAAAGAGAAGAGAACGAGCAAAACAAGGAAGATGCTCCTTCAAAGTCTAAGTTTCTTAAAACAGTGGGGATAAGACCTGGCTGTTTGAGCAGGCGTTCGAATAATTAGTGCAATGATTGGTTAATGAACACTGGAATGGAACAATGGAGGACGAATCTGGAACATGTTTTTGATGACGAGACGACAGTGAATGGGTATTGTAGTAACTGTTTATTAATTGTGTAATGTGTTAGGTTGTTAACTGTTTTTATACTGTAGCACTGAATTTTTGCTGTTCGTATTTGTTGTGAACCGCTGTGAGTCGCCTTCGGGCTGAGAACAGCGGTATATAAGTAAGGTAAATAAATAAATAAATAAATAAATAAATAAATAAATAAGAGTTTAAGAAACATGCATTCTGTAGTTTTCCAGATCCTTCATTCCAAAACTAGGAGGAAATGGGATATATCAAATAAATGGTAGTTTTAAAGTGACATTCACAAAAGTTTCATGCTTCTAGTTAAGCAAAAAAAATTGATTAGAGGGTAATAAAAGTTCTATTTTTTTGTCAAACTATGATATATTTTAAGAAATGTAATTTGTAATGGAAACCTACTTCTAGCCACTGTTCTATTATATGATGATGTTATGACTTATTTTTACCACAGAGACAGGAATGAGATGCTTACTCAAGGACTTTTAAAGGAAAACAATTTTTACTCTGGGAAAGGTCCATATTTGGAAGTATACACGTAATGTGTACAACTGAGGAGCTGGCCATTCCAGCACAAAGCAAGTTATGAGTCCTCTGGCAACAGAGATGTCCAAGGACTGAGAAATAAATATCTTATCACTAAATGGGACAGAATGGGATGCTAGGGCATACCCTTGTTGTGGAAATATGGAGTTATGCAAGAGTTTATGTTATGTATTTCACATATTTGTATCCTGCCCTTCTCACCCTAAAAGGGGACTCAGGGTGACCTTACAGCAGGCAGCGATTTGATGCCAACACATATAAATATAAAAATAAGCAAATAAAATTAAAACCATACAATTAAATATTAATTATTATTCATACTTTAATTATCATTCATAATTTAAATTAATTATTATTAATTGAATTGAATTTATTCATAAACATTATGTTGCTGAGAGCAACTCAATACCTGTGGTTTCATCTGGGCATCATCACCAACACAGTCCCCAACTGGATAGCTATGGTGGTGTTTTCAAAAGGCGTATGTTGCTTTTGTATTTTCAATGTACATATTCCTCCCATTCATTAAAAGTACAATATTACATTAAAAACAACATATGCTCTCTGGAAATACCACTACAACTTGTCAGTGTGTATTCCTCTCACCCATTATTGCATTGCGTTAAGTGCAATATTATCTTTCCATGGTGGTGGGATTGCAAGAGGCTAGCATTACTGCCATCAGAGTTCCTAAAGTCAGACAAGCTTTCACTGAGGAGCCGGATTAAATGTGCCAAATAGCTACTGGATAACAGCTCTAGCTGGAGGTGATGTTAATACTAGCAGAATATAAGGATGGAGTAACTAACTATCGCATAACTAAATGGGGCAGAATGGGGTGCTATGGCATCCTATTCTGGAAACACAAGACCAGGAGCAGGTTGTGGCACAGACCACGAACTGCTCATATTAGAAATGAGAGTAAAGCCAAAGAACATTGCATCAATTACTGGGCTAAAATACAACCTTTAGAATGTAAAGATAATGTAAAAAATAGATTTGCACTTGTTGCAATGTATCTTCATGTTGACTTATGGCAACCCGAAGGCAAGCTTTTCATGAGTTCAGAGGCCGATGCCTCTCTCGAAGGCTGAGAGTATAACTTGTCCATGTTCACCCAGGTTGAGTCAAGATTTCAGCTTCCATCACTAAAGCTTAAAACCACTAAATCAGGATGACTCTCCAATCTGCACTATTGACCAGGAACCTAAAAACTATGGACTCCAGACAGGGATACTGTGAGGGAAGAATACAAAAAGCTAATATGTCTTTACCAATGCGAAAGAATATTCCTACTGGATGACAGATGAAATTCTTCTAACAGTTAAGAAGACACAAAAAGTAAAAGGGGACAAAAATTGGGTCCATACCCTGAACACAACTGTTCAAAAATTTATGCACATGGACAAAAGAAACTACTATAACAATAAATGCAGAGAAAGACAAGATCACAAAAAAGGATAGAACAAGATATATTTCCCAAAAGATCTGAGAATTCACAGGGAAATTGAAAGAGAGAGGATACTTGACAGCCAGCAGGGAAATATACTGCATGATCGTCTTAAAGAAATGGGTGAACCACAACATTTGATTTTCCGAATATGTAACGTGTACTCAGGTTCGAATCCAGGGAGTGAGGTGAGCGCCCGCTGCTAGGCCCAGCTTTTGCCAATCTAGCAGTTCGAAAACATGCAAATATGCGTAGATCAATAGGTACCACTCTGGCGGGAAGGTAACGGCACTCCATGAAATCATGACCTTAGAGGTGTCTATGAACAACGCCTGTTCATCGGCTCAGATTAGCACAACCCCAGGAATCGGACATAACTAGACTTAATGTCAAGGGGAAATCTTTACCTTTACCATAGATAGATAGGAATCAAGGAACATGAAAGGCACTGCAGACTACTTCAACCAGAGAAGTCAGCCATAGCAGAGCACCTGATGAACCAAGCTGGACACAGCATTTTATTTGAAAACACAGAAATGTTGGACAACTCTCACAACCACCATGTCAGACTACACAGAGAAGCCGTTGAAATACACAAGCACGTGGACAATTTCAACAGAAAGGAGGAAACTAGGAAAATGAACAAAATCTGGCTACCAGTATTAAAAAACTCTAAAATTACAACAGCACAACAACAGAGAGGAAACAAACAAGGACATCTAATCACTTCTCAACAAAAGTTTGCTCCAGGCACTGTCAGGCCATTATATGCTAATCAAGGTGGTCATTTGAAACATTCACATCTAGCTCCAGCAGACAAGAGCCCTTTGTCCCACCCTGGTCATTCCACAGATATATAAACCCCTTTTTTCCTAGTTCCAACAGACCTCACTATCTCTGAGGATGCTTGCCATAGATGCAGGCGAAACGTCAAGAGAGAATGCCTCTAGAACATGGCCATATAGCCTGAAAAAACCTACAACAACCCAGATAGATAGATAGATAGATAGATAGATAGATAGATAGATAGATAGATAGATAGATAGATTTCATATACCTTAGCTCAGTCACTGATCAAAATGGAGACAGTAGACAAGAAATCAGAAGATGACTAGAACTCAAGAGGGCAATTATGAAGGAGCTACACAAGATCTTCAATATATTGGCATATCATTGAATATCAAAGTCGCATATTTCCAATTTCTCTTTATGATTGTGAATGCTGGACAGTGAAGAAAGCAGATAGGAAGAAAACCAGCTTATCTGAGATGTAGTGTTGAAGGAGAGTTCTACAGATACCCTGGACTATCAAGAAGACAAATTAACAGAATGGTCTTGAACTCTCCTTAGAAATCCAGATAACTAGATAAAGTCTATCCTATTTTGGATATATCATCGAAAGACATGATTCACTAGAAAAAGCAACAATACTTGGCAAGATAGATTACAATAGAAGAAGAGCAAGATCCCATTATAGTTGGATAAACTTAGCCAAGGAAGCCATGGGCCTAGTTTGCAAGACCTGAGCAGCGTTGTTGACAGCAGGGTGACATGGAGGTCTCTTATTCAAAGGGGCCCCAATACATCAAAGTCAACTTGGTAACAGTAAACAACAACAATGCCTCCCACCCAATCCCTAGACTGAACTCAAATGGACTATGTCATGCATTCTTCTATTCCTCCAGGCCCCAACATATAAATATAGGGTAGCTCTGTTAGTAGTTCTTACCTCAGATGCTCTTCCTCCTATATAATTATTTTTGTAAAAGTGCTATTTTACCCACATTAAGCTTCAGGACCACAATATATAAATGTATATGCACATAAGCATTTACACAAGTTCAAGTTAATGGTTTTTGAGAAGAACAGCTGAACGTATCAATTTTCTGACATATTCTAAAAACAGAAAATTCATCTTAAATGTACAGCACTGATACCAGTTTAATCTGAAAGGGAACTCTCATCTCACATCATGCAATTTGGGATGTAATAACTTGTTTTCTGAGGGAAAGGCAAAAAAATATAATTCCAGAGTTCTCACTGCATCACCACCAATTGCTTTACGTGGGTTGCTTCATAATGCTTATCAGCCATATCCTTCCTGTTCTTTCTTGGAACTTTTTATTGGAGGGCTTTTATTTTATAAAGCAAAAATGAAACTGTTTTAGATAGAAAAATAATAAAATCAATTACAATTTGGAGAATGTTTTTAATCAACAGAGACATAAAACAGACATTTGAGAGAACAAATTATAGCTTCAGTTTCAGACTAGTCCTGTTGTAAACAGAATGAGAAAACTCATTGTCGATTCAGAATTTTCACAGGATATCATTTTCAATCACTTCAAATTTCAGGCTAGTACTCCATAAAAAAGACACTACTCTATAAATCTCTAAGACAGAACCTGGAAAACATTACGTTTCTGGGCTACAACTCCCAGTGAGCTGCTAACTAGAAGCTTCATGGAACTGAAGTTCAACTAAATAGGTTTTCCAAGCTTTTCCCTAAGAAAACATGGAGATTTTACCTATACTATGGCAGACAATGGTTTGTCTTGCCCAACATTATGAATATTACTGGCAATGGGTCTCAAGTCGGAGGCAGGACTCTTTTATGACATGACGTGGAGATAGAAGGGGTTGAATCTGGGGTCTTCTGCTTGGAGAAAAGATATTGTACTTTCCTCTGAGGTACAAGTCTTCCTTCCCAATTTTCTTGTACAATGAAGAAAGTGACAATGGCTTGTATCTACTGTATGTACTCATGAATATGTCAAGTTTGAGTCAAAACATTGACCCAAAAACCTTCAGTCAACTTATCCACGAATTAATTTACCTTAACTCTCAACAAAAAAGGATCTATTCTTTTCTCTAGTGAAGCTTATTGGAGGAAACAAGCTTCTAAAGCCTTCTCTATATGATGTTTGTTTGTTTTTATAATGTGCTGCTTTATAACCTGAAGTATATTATATTTATTTATTTAGAAGTTTTATATACTGGTCGTCTCACCTCCGAGGAGGGACTCAGGCCGGTTCACAACATGTGTTCATATACAGTAATATACAAAACAACACAATGCATCATCATTATACATTAAAATATAAGTACAATAAAAACATCATCATCACATTACACAAGCTAAGTCGTCAATACAGTCACAATTCATCGCCATCCTTCCATGTGGACAAGGGTTATTGACTCAATCTTCAAATGCCATATTTCAAAGCCAGGTTTTTATTAGTTTTCTAAAGGTCAGGAGGGAGGGAGCAGATCTAATCTCTGGTGGGAGGGAATTCCAAAGCCGAGGAGCCACCACCAGGAAGGCCCTGTCCCTCGTTCCCACCAAATGCGATTGCGAAGGTGGTGGGACCGAGAGCCAGAAGATCTTAGTAACCTTGATGGTTCATAGGGGAGAATCGTTCGGACAGGTAAATTGGGCCGGAGTCGTTTAGGGCTTTAAAGGTCTTATTTAATTCTATATATTATTTAATTCTAGTTTCCTCATATCTATATACCTAAAGCAGTGGGAGGGGCTGCAGGTCATGTGACTGACTCAGTGACAGTTTAAAATGTTCAGTTTTAAACAGGATGACAGTTAGGGAATGATATCGATTGAGGAATGACTTTTAGAGGATAGGAGTCTGTCAGAGTGCAGAAACTCATGTTAGGAAGTTAGAAACTATTGAGGCTTATGTTTTATTTGAAAGTAAACTCTTATTAAAGAGAGCTGTATAATGCAACATGGTTTATGAAGAAACTCTTTTTGAATACCTGGGTGGGAAAATGGTGGTGGCGGTAGCCAAGGGCAATTGGCCCCTGAGGCATTGCCGCCACTTTTCCCACTCTGAGGAATGACCCCCCAGAGATCCTATCAAAATCAATTAATTTTGGCCACAAAGCCTATTCTTGATTATACATGAGGCTGACTTATATACAGGAATACTTAGCAGTTCCATCTTTATTTTCAGCCCATTCCATCCATCATGCTGCAATCAGAACTGCCAACAACCAATACTTACTGGGCAAGGCAAGAAGATTAATGTACGTATGCAGCTTCTCAAAGACCGCTGTCAGCTTTTTCATGTCATTTTGGAGCTCCATGTTCCTGGCTCTTAACGCAGCTGTGCAAAGAGAAGATTCACACTCTTCTTCCAAACTAGGAACATATGAATTTATGTTTTTAAAAGTGAGTATTGTGGTGGCAAATGTGGTTCGCTTTTTTATATAAAAAAGACAAGATTTTCAGAAAAATCTGAAACAGCAATACATTTGGCTTTTATGGGGCACTGTTTGGGACTTACAAACACTTTTTGTAATTAGGTTCTTGTGGGTTTTTTCGGGCTATAGGGCCATGTTCTAGAGGCATTTCTCCTGACGTTTCGCCTGCATCTATGGCAAGCATCCTCACTACCTCTGAGGATGCTTGCCATAGATGCAGGCGAAACGTCAGGAGAAATAATGCCTCTAGAACATGGCCCTATAGCCCGAAAAAACCCACAAGAACCTAGTGATTCCAGCCATGAAAGCTTTCGACAATACTTTTTGTAATTGTTTATTAAAGTAATTTGCTGCTGCATTCTTAAAGAAAATCATCCATGTCATCAGAAGTCACTTTTGGCTGATATACATCCAAAACAGTTGGGTTGGGGGTTGTAATTTGTTCAAGCACCTGCACCTTAGCAGAGAAGGCTTAAGACCTTGTCAAACTACAAATCCCTTGAACCCAAGCATACTGGCTAATGATGGTGGGAGTTGTAGTCCAACCCATTGGGGGGGGGGGGGAGATCAGGTTGAGAAAAATGACAAACAGCAAAGTAACAATTCTTGACAATTTCTTTAACTCTTTCACTAATATGCCTGGGTTCTAACAAATTCCCAAGAAAAAGACCAAAGACAACTAGAGGAAAAACCTCCAAAAATCTCCCAAAATTATGTAGATATGTTACAAAATGTATTTGTTTCAAACCGATCTCTAATTTGCCTTTTACTATGCACTAAGACAGTGGTTCTCAACCTGGGGTCCCCAGATTATTTTGGCCTTCAACTCTCAGAAATCCTAACAGTTGGTAAACTGGCTGGGATTTCTGGGAGTTGTGAGCCAAAAACATCTGGGGACCCTAGGTTGAGAACCACTGCACTAAGAGATTATGATGAGATATGGATAAATATGTAAACAGGTGTCAGTTCAATTTCCCCCGAAAAAATTACAGTCAGAAATCTGAAGGGAAATATAATCTAGAGCCAGGGTCTTGTTATCACGATACTCTCAGATACCTAACATAAGTGATAAGATGCTCAATTAATTACAGTTCTCATTTAGGAAAGTCAAAAATGAAAAATGAAGTACCTTTTGAACTGATAAGGAAGAATCTTCCTGAGAAAGCAGACGTAAGATGTTAAGTGGTCAGAAAAAGATTTCAGTTTCACAGTTGTTTCCTTTGAAGAAGAAGAACAAAAGAAACTGTGTTTCACATATTTAAAACCAACCTGTTTCAAACATGAAATCTGGCAACAGGATAAGGGTATTACCAGCACAGTGACCGTGTCTTCCGTGATGCTCTCAAACAGCTGCAGCATTCCTTCCTCTAGAGGACGGACGTAGGACGCATTTTCATGAAGGTACTGGGAGAACTGAAGGGGAGAAACTGGTTAGTAACTCTAACACAGGCATAGACAAACTTTGGCCCTCCAGGTGTTTTGGACTTCAACTGCCACAATTCCTAACAGCCGGTAGGCTGTTAGGAATTGTGGCAGTTGAAGTCCAAAACACCTGGAGAGCCAAAGTTTGCCCAGGCCTGCTGGCCCAGGCCTGCTCTAGCAGAAGCTGCTCACAAACTCAACCTCATTTGTCTTAGAGGACCATATTATGTCCCACAACAAAATGAATTCTGGCTCATCTGTACTGCCATTTTTGGAGAGAAGAATCTGTAATATGGAGGATTGAAAGTAGATGTTACACTCCAGGCCAGGAAACACCTCTGTACTTAAACACCCCACTCCAGTCCAAATTAAATCAGCAAAGCAGTTTATTGATGATTATATAAAAAGCACTTCAGCAAATATAGAAAAAACTTCAAAGTCTATATGTCTAAAGAAGTCCACAAGCTTCAAGGTACAAGAGTAATCCAAAATCCCAAAGCAACAGGACATCCAGCATATGAATGCATAGAAACCAGGATATACAAGGAAGCATAAAATCCAATACAAAAATCCAGGACCAATCCTTCAAACTTGGAGGCATAAAACAGGACCAAACACATGAAACTGCACTCCCATTTTTTAACCTTTGGGATCACAGGGGTTAGAAAAACAGGCCTGTGGGACACATGCAGGTAATAGTTCAAACCCTGTCATAGTGAGATTTTAGTACCTAAAAGACTTTTACTTTTAATTTGTATGTTCCCTGGGCAATTAAAAGTATGAAGCTGAAAATCACACAAGGAGGAACATACCTTAAATAAAAAGAACAGAAAAACTTGGCAGAAAGGTGGCATGTCTGGACAACACTGCTCCCCATTTACTTAAAAAAGACTGAAAGATGAAAAGGTCTAGGAAAATAAAAGCTCTCCATTCAATGCTGACTCCAGACAAATCTCCTTGGAAGAAATTTCCAAAGTTAGGGGCCAACACTTGAGTTAAATAAATAAAAGGTTAACTAAAACAATGAAAAGTTATTTCCAATTGCCACCTGCCAAATCTCCAAAAGACTGGGCTATCACTATCAGGGGGAGGCCGATGTTGATGATGAAGGTATGATGCTGAATTCGATTATTTGTTTGTGCAACCCACTATTATCTATTCCGGCTAAGAAGTGGTTTTCCAACAGCCTCAAGAAGCAAAACAAACAACTCTGCATCTGTATGCTTGCCCACAATGACCTGCCTCATGCACAGAGGAAGAAAGGTTTAAAGCTACAGACAATGCAGTCACTGTTGCCCATTTTTGGTTGAAAACTATCTAGCAGCTTGTGATCCCTTTATTTTATCAGGTTTAGATAAACTATTTTATTTTTAGGAAAACTATTTTATGCAATATCTTTGACACAAATTAAAATCAAGTCTCAAGGAGACATTGCTCCCATCTACTGCTGACTGATATTTCAGCCGAGGATGCCATGAACCTGGAATCATCAGATGATACAAGATTCAAATGATTTGTAGAACAGCAATATTGCTATTTGGACATAGGAAGAAGTATTGGGGAAGTTTCATAATCAGCTTGGAACATTACTTTGTAGGACATCTCCTGCCATTCTGGAAACGACAGTCTCAAAAAGGGTTTTTTTCTGACTTCTGTATTCAATGGGGTTTGTAAAGAAATATAATGCCTCTACCACAACGAGCTATAGCGCAGAGTTCAGCTTTATAATAGGTGTTTAAGGTTTATCCAAACTCACCCTACCTTCTGATTTAACGGTGATATCGTGTCTGTGGCTGAATCTATAGGGAAAATCTGGACCCGCTGTTCTGTGTAGGTGTGGAAATTCAGGAGGGCTGTGACTAAATCTTGAACGAAAGTTAGTGCTTGGCCAGCAAGGTCACGCAGCTTCAACTGCAAGATATAAAAAAAAAACATGATGGGGTTCACTGCTATATTGGAGTGTAATCAGTTTAATACAAACCTTTCACAACTCTGCTTCTAACCAATCAAACAAAAGAAAGGTGTATCACAGAGACTTCTCTGTTTTAAAGTTGCTTCAGCTGGCAAAGCTGCAGAATAGCAAACACTCTTCCATTTCGGTTCTTCCAGAACATTTTTCAACATCAAAACCAAAATGCAACTGATGGTGGGCATGAAATCGGATAAATCACACAAGTGTCATTTAACCAGGCCTATGGTTATCACTTTAACTGATTTTACAAAACCATATATCACAAAGAACACTGCACCCAGCTATATCCTGATTGTGCAAAAAAGCAGCTCAGGCAAATGAAACTTCCTTTTCCTTTCTTCCTGCTGCAAAAACTCTCCAAATTGTTAATAATATGAGGCTTTGGTATACTGGGATGAAGATCTTGTGCCAGATGTAGGATCAAATGCCCCGCTTTTAGTTCCTACCCTCTTTGAAAACATTTCCCAGACCCATCGTAATTGCAACGAAGTGGTATATCAACATCAGTTATTATTTATCTGATTTGTTATATATTGTAAAAAGTACTAATCAGGACCTAAACTACATAAAGAGAACCACATTAAAGAGGAAACCGGCACTAAGCTGACCTGACCCATAGCTGTATGCCAAATAATAAATAAATAAATAATTTTATTTATATTATTCCCTGTTCCCCGAGAGGATTCCTCTAACTGTTTAAGTTACGGACTGTCCATGTTTTACTCACCTGCCGCCGTCTATTGTGGAATGGCACGTTCAGAGCATTGTGATGGATGGATTCTGCAAAACAATCCACAGTTACATTCATAATATTCATCCATAATATTATTAAAATATTTCCCCTCTGAGCTGCCTCTTTAATTTAATACTTTAAAAAGAAGAAGGCATATTTTCAAACAGGGCTCTCTATATCTTTCCTGAGCCCTCAAAATGTGGCAAACTAAAAATTCAAAGGAGTGAAAAGGCACAGAAAAGCGAAAGGTTGGAACTGTAAATACTAGAATCTATGATTTTGTGAGATTTTTTTAAAGGCTGAAAGCTCTACATACTTATAATTCCCACCAACAGCACAACAACAGCTTGTTATTGTTAAGTCTCATATCCTGCCTGCCTGACTTCCTCATTTACAGGTAAGACAGAAATATTGCAATGACTAAGAGATGGCCATCGGCTTAAGGCAGGAAGTGAATTTCTGGCAGAACTGAAATCTAAACTGAGAACTTCCTGGTTCACAACCATGTCTTCTAGCCATTTAACAATGCTAATTGTTAAGGAATGCAAATGAGACCCTTGGATTAACAGTATGCATGAATTCATATAGCAAGTTTCAACTTCAGAAGTTATACTTAGCAGAGATGTAATATATGGCACATACCTTGCAAGCAATAATTATATTTCTTGACTATGGGGGCTCAAACAATAACAATAAATTAAAAACTGCTAATAAAATGCATTAATGATTCAAAATTAATGGGAGAATCCTAAATACATTTTATCTCAGTCACGAATAGCCAATTTAGATTTTGGCTTTCCAAAAATTTCTTTAAACTAGGGGAATATGTTAAGGTAAAGGGTCTTTGCACAATTAAAACTTGTGTGCCAGCTGTGACTATACATTGTGAAGTTGGTTCTTGCTATGGTGGTCCATGCCTTAGTTACCTCTAGATTGGACTATTGCAATGCACTCTATGTGGGGCTGCCCTTGAAGACATCCTGGAAATGTCAATTGGTCCAACAATCGGCAGCCAGACTGCTAACTGGAGCAAATTTCAGGAAGCGATCTATCCCCTGGTTTAAGGAGCTTCATTGGCTGCTGTTCATTTTCCGGTCCCAATTCAAGGTGCAGGTTCTCACCTACAAAGCCCTGAACGATTTGAGACCCGCCTACCTTTGTGACCACATTTCCTTCTACGAACCTGTATTATCTCTTTGTTCCTCCCAGGAGACTCTCCTCTTGCTCACACCTCCATCACAGGCGTGGCTTGTGGGGATGAGGGAGAGAGCCTTCTCCGTCATGGCCCCTCAGCTTTGGAACTCGCTACCCGATGATATTAGAGAAGCTCCTTCCCTGGCAGCCTTTAAGAAAGGCCTAAAAACCTGGCTCTTCTGGCATGCCTTTGATGAATGAACACAAATCCCTATACCATGTCCATCCCAGTATAGTTCCACCCTCCGGATGCACTTTTTTTCATCCCTTAGTGAAGGTCAACCCCATTGGTTCTTTATTATGTAAGATCAATTCATCCACTCAAGAGTTAATTTGTAAATTGGAAAAAAATAATTTAAATCCATGGAAAAAACAGGGAATATAACCCACAGCACTACTATATTTTGTGCCTTTAACAAGCAGCAAAATCCATTCATTCATGCAATACTTACTTGTGTCGTTGAAAGGTAATTTTTCCCTAATGATGTGCAAAGAATCATCCAATCTGCTGCTCAAGTCACTATGAAGGTGCTTTAGCTGCTGTTGGCTGCATGACAAAAGGAGAAAAAAAAGAGAAGCATTAAGTATTAATTTAAGGATCTTTCATGGGACCAGAGAGGACAAAGAGAACTGCTATCTTTATGAGCAACTTTTTATTAGTACAGTCTTGTTTATGCAAAATGCAACTTGGATTTCTACCTTTGTTCATTAGAACAGAGATCAGGCAACTTGGACATTAATGAACAACAACTCCCCTCACCACCAACTGTGCTAACTAGGGCTGAGCTTGCTTTTTTTGTGTGTGTCGGGAGTGACTTGAGAATCTGCAAATCGTTTCTAGTGTGAGACTTGGCCATCTGCAAAGACGTTGCCCAGGGGATGCCTGGATTTGTTTTGGATGTTTTACCATCCTTATAGGAGGCATCTCTCATGTCCCTGCACGGGGAGCTGGAACTGACAGAGGGAGCTCATCTACGCTCTCCCCAGATTCGAACCTCCGACCTGTTGGTCTTCAGTCCTGCCAGCATAAGGGTTTAACCCATTGCGCCACCAGGGGCTGAGCTGTGATCAATCAATATGTGGAGGGGCACAACTGTCTACCTTTGAACTAGAATATTTCTGAGTACAGTGTTTGAAGGCATGATGGAATCAAAGCTGAAGGCCAAAAGCACATGTGTGACTAGCAGCAAAATTTTATCATTTTTAGGATGGTGAATCTAGGCTGCATTAATAGGAGTCTAGATTGAGGGAATATAGCGCCCCCTGGTGGCACAGCGGGTTAAACCACTGTGTTGCAGAATTTGCTGACCAAAAAGTTTTCAGTTCAAATCCAGGGAGTAGCATGAGTTCCCGCTGTTAGCCCCAGCTTCTGCCAATCTAGAAGTTCAAAAATATGCAAATGTGAGTGGATCAATCAGTACCACTCCGGCAGGAATTTAACAGCACTCCATGCAGTCCTGCTGGCCACATGACCTTGGAGGTGTCTATGGACAACGCCGGCTCTCTGGCTAAGAATTGGAGTTGAGCAGCACTCTCGAGAGTCAGACTTGACTAGTCTTACTGTCAGGGAAAACCTTTTCCTTTACCTTAGATTGTAAAGGTACCATGCTAAGACATCACCTGGAGTACTTGCTTCTGGTATGAGAGAATTGGCAGTCTGCAAGGACATTGCCCAGGGGATGCCCGAATTTTTACCATCCTGTGGGAGGCTTCTCTCATATCCCCGCATGGGAAGAGAGTTTCTCAAGTCGCTTCTAACACGGAAAAAAAGTAAAACCTGGAATACTATGTTCAGATCTGGGCATCACAGTTCAAGAAGGTTGTTGACAAGCTAGAATGAGTCCAGAGAAGAGGTACCAAAATGTCAATATTTATTTACTGTTTTTATTTACTGATTTTTTTTACTGTATTTTAGTAGGTCTGGAAGCCAAGCCCTACAAGAAAGACTAGGTATGTTTAGCCTGGAGAAGGGAAGGTTCAAGATGACATGACAGCAGTGTTTAAATATCTGAAAAGGTGTCATACTGAAGATGGAACAGGTTTGTTTTCTGCTGTGCTAGAGACTAGGACACGGAGCAATGGATTCAAATTGCAGAAAAAGAGATTCCATCTAAACATTTAGAAGAACTTCTTGATGGTAAGAGCCATTCAGCAGTGGGATATACTGCCTTGGTATGTGGTGGAGTTTCTTAAGAAGAGGTTGGATAGCCATCTGTTGGGAGAGTTTTGATTATATTTTCCTGCATCGCAAGGAACTGGACTAGTTGGCCCTTGTGGTCTCTAAGCTTCAAATCAAAACAATATTTAAAATGGTTTAACAGTTGAGCATTTTTTTCAAGATGATGAATAAAAAGGTAAAGATTTCCCCTGATGTTAAGTCTACGCATGTCCAAGAGTAGGGGGGAGGGGTGCTCATCTCTACTTCTAAGCTGAAGAGCCAGCACTGTCCATAGACGCCTCCGAGTTCATGTGGCCAGCATGACTGCATGGAGCGCCGTTACCTTCCTGCTGGAGCACTCCCTATTGATCTACTCACATTTGCATGTTTTTGAACTGCTAGGTTGGCAGAAGCTGGGGCTAACAATGGGAGCTCACCCCACTCCCCGGATTCAAACCGCCAACCTTTCAGTTAGCAGGTTCAGCAGCTCAACGATTTAACCTGCTGCACCACCAGGGGCCCCTAAGTTCATGAATGCTTTTATCTTAAGTATTTTTGCAATTCAATCTCACTCCATTTCTCTAAATTAATCAAGCATCCACGTTCAATATTTGAATCTGAGAACAAGTGTGTGGAACCTTAGCTCAAGAGCCAAATTTAATTTCAGAGAGCTTCTCTAGGGTCACATTCCAATGTTTAAAGATGGGAAAGGAAGGGACTAAAGAGCTTGTACATATTCAAGTAGTTTCTGACCAATGTCAATAGACTGTGCTAAGAAAAAATGTCTTGGCGCAGTTTGTTCAGAAAAGGTTTGCCATTGCCTTCCACTGAGCCTGGAAGAGTTCACCCAGTGGGTTTCAAGGCCACACAGGAATTCAAACTCCAGTCTCCAGAGTCTTAGTCCAATGCTCCAACAACTGCTCTGTCTCTACTAGCATCCTTTAGCTCAGTGGTTCTCAACCTGTGAGTTCCCAGGTGTTTTGGCCTACAACTCCCAGAAATCCCAGCCAGTTTACCAGCTGTTAGGATTTCTGGGAGTTGAAGGCCAAAACATCTGGGGACCCACAGGCTGAGAACCATTGCTAGCTTAAAGTTCTTACTGCCTGTAACTAAGACCCAGAAGAAGGATTTCAATATTTCAGAATATGAAGGGGAAAAATAAAAAGAAGGCATCAAATTAAATATCTAACCCAGTGGTTCTCAATCTATGGGTACCCAGATATTTTGGCCTTCAATTTCCAGAAACCCTAACAGCTGGTAAACTGGCTGGGATTTCTGGGCCAAAATACCTGGGGATCCACAGGTTGACAACCACTGAGCTAGGCAATCCAGAAAAGGTGGATTTGTCCCCAGGTTTGTCATTCCGCACTACAAAGACAGGCCTTCAAACTTCTGCTCCCATGATAATGGGCCACATATGGCCCATCTATCAGATTTGGCAGCAGACGTGAATACCTGGTATGCGTCATTGCATCGCTATTCTAGAAACAAAGAACAATCCATCAAGTTGACATGCCCAGAAAACTACAGTGGGGAAAAATCTGTACACACACCAGTCTTTTTAAAAAAGAAAACATACCATTCTTCCATTCGGACCCTGCAGTCCTTGGCTTCTCGCTCTAAGGTCTGAGATTTGATCTAAAAGTGAAGCAAGGGAGAATTGCGAGGATATATCAATAACCATTACCAAAATCCATTTAATGTCAATATCATTTGTGCTTTTGGCCTTTTATTATTTCAAGAATTTATAAACCACAATTCTCCTAAAAGCAGCAATATATAAGTGTTAGAAACAACTACTAAAGCAATAAAATGATCACTCTGAAATAAATCACACCAAATTTGGAAAAAATACAGCAAATGAAAAGAAGTGTGTCACACATTTGATACAAGCAACCAGCCTGTAAGGAATGGATGAAAAGGGACATTTTTAATCAGTCAAGGAATGCCAGCAGTGGTTGTATCATTAGGGTCATTCCCTCAGTTAATAAGCCATATCCTGTGACCTTACATGCAACTGCTTCACTCCTCCCTATATGTAAGCAAATAGAAAATCAGAAAACACTCATCTAACAACATTTACTATTATATTGAAACCAGAAAACTAGAACTCGGGAATTACAAACATGGACATGACACTGTAGGTAGTATAGCTGTCTTCATGTTCTGACTTGTTCAAAAGCTATTATTGGTAGTTTCCAAGCCTGGAAGTAACAGGAAACTATAGCTAGCTGAAGACTTCTTCCCCTGATCTCATAAAAGGGAAATGGAATAAATGGTTTCTCAACTAGCCAGAATACAACCACTATAAGAACCAGATGAACATCAGTGTAGAGAGCAACGCACAAGGAATACGTAAGCTGAGTCCCTACAGGGAGATAGGGCGGGATATAAATAAAGTTTTCTTAGTATATTATTAACTTTGAAACTTACCTCTAACTTGGCTTTATCGCTCTGCAGTTTTTCTATCGTATCCATGTACTTCCGGGTTAGGCCATCCACGACTGCTTGGTGCTGGGCGGCCTCCATCTCCAAGACCTCAAGTCTATTCCGCAGCTCAATTTCTAAGCGCTTATGCTGCTCATCCGCCTCAAAGAACTACAAAGGAAAGGTCATGCAGGAGAAACGGTCAAGAGAGGTCTTCATCAGTCCAGGTGTTGACAGCTATCAGGATTCCTTGTGAATATGTTTTAAAAGAAAATAGCAGTCAGAAAACATGGCTGTACACAGCAAGTTAAGCCTTTCTTTTGAATAGGTTTCCTAATTAAGCTCAATAATAATAATAATAATAATAATAATAATAATAATAATCTTTATTTATACCCCGCCACCATCTCCCTGATGGGGAGTCGGAGCGGCTTACATGGGGCCAAGCCCGAACAACGTATTATATCAAAATAAAACCAAAACATAAACAACAAGCAACACCATCAAAATTACATGGAGAAAAAAATACAATAACAAAATAAGATTACAATAAACAAAAACACAGTCCTATTAAACCATGGGCGGGCCACATGTACAGGATAAAATGTTAAAAACTCTAATGAGATAAAAATAGGAGCAAGTTATTTGCAGGGAGCTCATAAAAATACACAGGGTTGTAAAACTAAACTTCCCATTTGGGGGGCATGTACTCCAGTGACAGAAGCGTTGAGGGGAGCAATAATGTCATGTTGTGCACCTACTCGTCAAAGGCGCAGCGGAAGAGCCAGGTTTTAAGGTTCTTTTTAAACATTTCTAGTGTAGGGGCATTCCTGATCTCTCCAGGTAATGAGTTCCAGAGTCGGGGAGCCACAGAGGAGAAGGCTCTCTCCCTTGTGCCCACAAGACGAGCCTGTGAGATTGGCAGGGGTGAAAGGAGGGTCGCCCCAGTTATTAATCATCTGCTATGGAGAAATAAAGCAAATGTTTCATGAAGTGCTGGTAGTAATGAGATACCTATGTTCTTGTTTGTTGTATAAGAAACATAATAGAGTTGAGTGGCTATCTATTTACCAGGGTATACCAAAATATCCTTTATGAAACAGTGGCAAAACTGGTGGATGAGAGCAGTGATCGGTCTCATTGGCCTAGAGGCATATCCAAAGATCACATGCAAAAATTTTCAGCCAAATTCTATACCCGGAGGAAAAGAAATTTATTCACACCAAATGAAAGTCTTGGCAAACCAGTTTGATTAGTTCCTTGTTAAAAGAGAAACAATGCAAATGAATGAGCAAAGACATAACACTCCTAGTGTGGACTTTCAGAACATGAAAAGTGGAAATATTTGCTTCTGAGCGGAGAAAAAAGGAAGGGCAGGATGGTCTCAAAGAAAGGGCCTGAAGCTACAAGCACTGCAGGTTACAGCTTGAAGATACCATATTTCTTCAGTTCGAAGCCACACTAAATTGTAAAACACAATAGTAATTTTAGTACCACCAACTTGTTTGGGTATCAGCCAGCACGTCAACACCTAACGCCTTCTAGGTGTTTTGGACTTCAACTTCCAACCATTAGGAATTGTCTGAGCTGTCCAAAACACCTGGAGAACAGAATATGTCCATGCCTGGTCTAGCTTAACTGCTAGATCATTTTCTAGAAGATAGCTACTTAGAGCACTCTATCGTCCTTGCCTTCTGAATTTTTTGCAAGCCACAAGACACTTCTGGACCATCAGCGAAAGAGGGACATAAGCTGGAGCGATGGGGTAGGTTCTGGATGTGGGAACCTCCACTACTATAGGGGCTTTGGTTTGCAGCAGCTGCCCAAAGTCTCTAGCAATATCGCAGTGATCATTGAGGCGGTTCAGGTTTTTCAAGTCGCTGTACCACTGCAGAGTTAGTTGTGACTGTTTTATGAGGGCTGTCAAACCTACCTGGGAAGATGCTTGCAGCCTACTGGGTTCTGCGTCTCTGAATTAGGAAATTCTGGGTCTGTTCTGAAGCACTAAACATCTGTTTACTTAGTACAAACTGTAGATGAAAAATTGAGTTATCCAGGAATATGTAATATCTCTATGCTGTCACCAAAAAGTTTCATATGGTATTGTCAAAGGCTTTCATGGCTGGAATCACTGAGTTGTTGTGAGCTTTTTGGGCTGTATGGCCATGTTCCAGAAGCATTCTCTCCTGAAGTTTCGCCTGCATCTATGGCAGGTATCCCCAGAGGTTGTGAGGATATATCACCCTGGACATTCCACAGATATATAAACCCAATTTTCCTAGTTTCCAACAGACCTCACAACCTCTGAGGATGCAAACATCAGGAGAGAATGCTTCTGGAACATGGCCATACAACCTGAAAAACTCACAACAACCCAGTTTCATAAGGTACTCTGTGAAAAGACAGTATCAGTCACTCAGATGTGTAATGTTTCCCAAAAAGCCACACATGCCTAGAGAACCAGATTACCTGTGAACTACCTGAATTCACTGGCAAAAACCAAGTTATTATGAAACACAGCCATAGAACGGAATCAAACAGCTATTCTTATCAAAATGATGCGTTGAACTACCTACCTGAATGTGCAATCTCTCATTTTCCTCTATCTTCTTTTGAAGATCTTCATCAAATACATTTTTTTGTTCTTGACTCAATTGAGAGACGGGTTCACCACTTTTCTAATAAGAAGCAAAAAGATACTTGTTTACTTAATATACGTACAAATTATTCCATACCAAAACCTTTGTGTATTTTCCTATATGGGGTAATTCTCTCTATAGTTATTAGTGCTGCAGAAGAATAAACTAGACAGCTGGCCAAGTCCCTGGCTCAAATGTCATCAAATGTATGAATTCGCCTGATACCATTTAATCAGTCACTCCCTATAATAAACACTAGCCTACTTTAATGAGTTGTTATTATAAGTCTTGAAGTCTTTATGCTAATATCTCAGGCCTATAGAAGTAGTGCACAATTATTGACAAATAATATTCCCATGTTGAAATAAGCAAGTCCTATTTATTTATGTATATGTTTATCCTGCCTTTCAGCTAAAAACTATAGTGCTGAAGGCAGATAACATCATTGAAAACAAATTAAGCAACAAAACCACTAAAATCAATAAATAATCCTGCAACATTTGCATTTCTTCCTGCAAGCAGCCTAATGTAATGAGAATGGTGAATACTAGGTCCTGTTTATAAAACACAAACCAAGAAGCTACCACATCTCAGTTAGCCCTTTGGTCCTTCTAGCTCAGTTTACGGTGTTTCAGGCAGAAGCCCTATCTAGAGACACCAGAAATTATTCCTGGGATTTCTGCATGCAAAGCACATGCTTTACGATGAAGCTAATCACTGCCATCTGTAGAGTGCTTAAGTGTTTCTAATGCTTAACATGCGTTATCGAGCTGTAAGCATTTCAACAGCCTTGTAAGTTTAACAGTATGATTATTCCCCATTGGCAAATAGGATGGAGAAGATGTATCTGTGTGTGTTTCAGAGATAGAGAAAGAGAGAAGGAAGGCTATGTAAAGCCATGTTTCAAGTTCCCACAGCAGACAAAACTCAAACCCAAGACTTCCTGTTTCGTTGCTCACTCTCTTAGCCATGATCTCCACATACATCAGACTGACATATACATCAGATCCCCCCCAAAAACACCCAATAATCTTTCTCCAGTATATCACACCAACTTCCTCCCTCACTGCTCTTTCACTCATTTCCCTCTGTTTCCATCACAGTCAGGATTTTATATTCTTATTTCTTCAATAGTGTAACAGGGAAATTAGGAAGCATGTAGAAAGTTCATAGCTTGCCAGATCCTCCTGTTTGCAGTGTATATAACATACTGTCAACACTATAAAACCATTAAATGAGCAGCATAAAAATGCACTTCAATAAAGCCTGCAAGCAATGCCTCTGTTGTGTTGTCAAAGGTTTTCATGGCTGGAATCACTGGGTTGCTGTGAGTTTTCCAGGCTGTAGGGCCATGTTCCAGAAGCATTCTCTCCTGAAGTTTCACCCACATCTATGGCAGGCATCCTCAGAGGTTGTGAGGTCTGTTGGAAACTAAGCAAGTGAGGTTTATATATCTGTGTAATAATGTCAAGAGTGGGAGAAAGAATTCTTGTCTGCTTGAAGCAAGAGTGAAAGTTGCCTCTGTTTAAAGGCTACTTCCGGTAAGATGGCGACACGCTAGCAGCAACCCTCCTACCCGGGTAAGGCAAGATCGCTGAATCCGAGCCAAATCAAACCCGTTCACCCCCATCTAGACTGCCCTTTATCGACTCCTTGACGGGCAACACCTCAGGACCCCGAAGGGGGCCTTGGGGCGCTGACTAGAGAGGAAATCAGGGAGAAAAGAGGGGGAGAAGAAGAAGGTAGAGCGAGGGCAATTACCACCACTCTCGCGGCCTGACGCTCCCTTCCAACGCGGCCTGGCGCTCCCTCCCAGTGCGACTGCTCGGACCTTACCAGCCCTAGCCAAATTGAGACCATTGGAGACCATCAAAGGGAGATAGAAGGGGAGACAGAAGGGGAGGCCGAAAGGGGCGAGCGGCGGCGCTGGACGAGCTGCGCTTCCCCATCCACGCTGCTCCGACTCACAGTTGCGGCCGACGCCCCCTCCCAACCCGGCCTGGCGCTCCCTCCCAGCGCGATTGCTCGGACCTTACCAGCCCTAGCCAAATTGAGACCATTGGAGACCATCAAAGGGAGATAGAAGGGGAGACAGAAGGGGAGGCCGAAAGGGGCGTGCGGCGGCGCTGGACGAGCTGCGCTTCCCCATCCACGCTGCTCCAACTCACAGTTGCGGCCAACGCCCCCTCCCAACCCGGCCTGGCGCTCCCTCCCAGCGCGATTGCTCGGACCTTACCAGCCCTAGCCAAATTGAGACCATTGGAGACCATCAAAGGGAGATAGAAGGGGAGACAGAAGGGGAGGCCGAAAGGGGCGAGCGGCGGCGCTGGACGAGCTGCGCTTCCCACATCATTATTCTAAGCACTCTAGATCTTGCTAGATCCTATACCTCTACTAAGTGGTCCAAAATCCCAGGTCAAGTGGTCATAGCCATTGCACTTTATGTTCTGTTCTTGGATTCCTGTTAACTGTTAACATCAGCATACTACCTCTAGGTCAATGTTTACTTCACCTTTGCTGCTATTGATATCCCTCCAATTTCCAGCGCAAGTGCACTTTATAACAACTCTAGCACAAGTGCACTTTATAGCATTAACACAAGTGCACTTTACAGCTTGTTCAGCGCAAGTGCACTTTATAACAACTTTAACACAAGCGCACTTTATAGCATTAACACAAGTGCACTTTACAGCTTTTGCTACACTGGAAGGAATAGATAGCATTAAGAGGTGGGAATATTGGGACCCAGAGACGGATAATCAGCGCTATGAGTATGTGTCCACTATTGAGATTACAACTGCTGGAAATGGAGGGAACGTCCCCGGGGGGGTGGGGCTGCGGGTGGGGGGGCCGCCATAGAGGTGGTGACTGGCAGAGGGAGATACGGGAAAGGGAGTATAAAACAACCATTTCGGCCCAAAATTTTTAATAACAAATTGGCAACCTCTAAAGATCCTAGAAATCAAAGACAAAAGCAAATTCGGCCCCAAATTCTCAATAGGACATTGACAACTCCAAAAATTAATGCTACTATTCGGCCTGAAACTAATTATAACAATTTGACATCCCCAAAATCTACTCCTGACAAAATACAACTGAGGTGCCAGGATGGTGGCCC